GTGACAGCAGGGCCAGCCTCTGGGGCCCTGAGGTGGCCGCCTCCTGGGCCCCCCAGGGGAAGAGGCTGGCCCTGTGGCTACATACCGGGTCGCAGGGGGGGCCGGGGCCGGGCCCGGTCGCAGCCGCGACCCCTGCGACCCTGGTATGTACGCCACTGATGTGTTTATTGGTTGTGTTCCAAAACCCTGTGGGTGGTACTAATGTGTATATAAGGACAATAAACCCACAGCTCTGTCTGTTCACTGCTTGACCATCAACACGGAGCTTTGTCTCGTTCTTGGGGGGATTTATTGTGTGCTGTTTCAGTTTGACTGCTAGGAGTTTAAACCTATTCGTATGGTTTTTCCTATTCGGCTGTTTACGGCATTCATATGGTTTCCTGTTCGGCGGACTGGTGTTCTGCATTAGCTATGCCTGTGTCTCTGGAAGGGAAGATCTACTAAACGGCGGTTTAACCCTTTTATGCTGAGGGTGCCGTTACAATTAATATGTCTAATTTCGCCTCCCATTCTGTTACAGGTATCATGACTTTCAAAGCTTCAGAATTGGGATGTTGTTTGGAAGATATCCTGAAAGCAGCATACTGGTCCGAATTGACTCTTCTACTTTCATCCGCTTGCTAATCTTTCACATTACATTGTGGCTTAGCTTTGCACTAGCATAATAGGAGATTCTGTGTCTTACTAATATTTCCAGATTTTACTCTTTACATGACGTAAAGTAGGCGGGTATTATTCCCATCCTTCCACTCACTTTTTTGTCTTATTTTTTCATTTTTACATGGTCTTCTCTTGTTATGGTATGGATAAAGAAACATAGTGCAATGTAGTAGGCAATCCCAACTAAAAGTCTTATATACCAACCCTTACGAGCAAAATCTCATATTTTCCCAGCTACTTCCAGCAAGCACGGAAGTACAGAGGGCAGCTTTGGACACAGTAAAAACAATTTAAATTTAAATATTTAAAGTAACAATTTAAATTTTAAAAAAACAATTTTCTCCATTGTTTAGTAATTACTGTACATGTAATTATTATTTGTTGGGAGATAGTATCTGTTGGGCTAGGTTTTCAATTTTAAACAATAGATGTTTGTTTCTCCCTCCTCCATCCTTTGTTATATCCTGTCTCCTCCTTTCCTCAGCAGTACATACCATCACCTAAATGTTATCTCCTCATTTAAGCCCATCTAGAGGTCTCAAACACCTCCATTTTCTAACCCACCCATTTAGAATGACGTTATCTACATCTATATATAAAATATATATATATATATATATATACATATATACACACACACACACACACACACACACACATATATATATATATATATATACACACACACACACACACACACACACACATTCTACAAATAAATATATTTATATAATATTTTTACATAATTAAGTCATTTTATTATTTACAATCTGAGGGACCTGCAGGACAACCCAGGCTGATAGTCCAGAAAATTTGGCTCGCAAGCCCTATATTTAACCCTGTAACTTTCCAGGACATCATAAAACCTGTACATGGGGTGTACTGTTTTACTTGGGAAACTTTGCTGAACACAAATATTAGTGTTTAACCCCTTGACGACCGATGACGGTTCAGGACCGTCATCGGAAACATCCCTTTGAGGACCGATGACAGTCCTGAACCATCATAACGGTCTGGGGGTACTTACCTGATCGCCATCGGTCCCCCGGTGGCAATCAGCGCTTCTCCCAGGTCATATATCTGCCTGCAGGGGGACTGTCTGTGCTGACAGACAGTCTCTCTGCAAGTGGAAAATTATAAAATAAAGTAAAAAAAACAGCAATCAGTGTAAAAAAATTATATATATATATATATATATATATATATATATATATATATATATATATTCATACTAAGTGTATTTATTATATTTGTTAAATTACACATGTATATATACACAATATAGCCACTTAGTCACAAACACTGGCCAAAGTTATTGTTTTTTGCATTTTTAACACACAAACATAACACAAAAAAATAAATGCTAACTTTGGCCAGTGTTTGTAACTAGGTGGCTACTAAAAAAGACTGGACATACCCCATATTAAATACCCTGGGTTGTCTACTTTAAAAAAAATATGTACATGTGAGGTGTGATTTGGGGATTTATGACAGATAACGGTGTTACAATGTCACTATTGATAAATTTAAAAAAAAAGTGAAACAGCAATTTCCTACTAAAAAGCAATAAAGCATGTAAACACTGCGTGTTTTTAAACTCGGGACAAAATTTTGAATCTATTTAGCAGTTTTTTTCATTAGCTTTTGTAGATAAGTAAAAGATTTTTCAAGTAAAAGTCCCAAAACATTTTTTTCTTAAATTTTTCACCATATTTTATTATTTTTTTTAGAAATATATGACATGATATAAATAATGGTATGTAAAGAAAGCCCTTCTTGTCCTGTATATATACAATAACTTATATGGGAACCGTATAGGAGAGAGGGGAAAATTACAGCCTAACACAAACACCACAAAAGTGTCAAAACTGCTCTGGTCCTTAACATACAACATCCCAAAAACAGGCTGGTCCTTAAGGGGTTAAAAACAGTAAAACATATCACAACGATGATATCATCAGTAAAAATGCAGTTCTTATGCATTTTTACACACGCAATCTGTACTTTCACTGACGATATTATTGTTGTGATACGTTTTACTATTTTGAAACACTAATATTTGTGTTCAGCGAAGTCTCCCGAGTATAACAGTAACCCCCATGTACAGGTTTTATGGTGTTTTCAAAAGTTACTGAGTCAAATATACGACTTAAATTTCCTTTTTTTCACATTGAAATTTGCCAGATTGGTTATGTTGGCTTTGAGAGCGTATGGTAGCCCAGGAATGAGAATGATGGCATACCATTTGCAAAAGTAGACAACCCAAGGTATTACAAATGGGGTATGTCCAGTCTTTTTTAGCAGCCACTTAGTCACAACACTGGCCAAAATTAGCGTTCAATTTAGTTTTTTGCATTTTTCACACACAACAAACATGAATGCTAACTTTGGCCAGTGTTTGTGACTAAGTGACTACTAAAAAAAGACTAGACATACCCCATTTGTATTACCTTGGGTTGTCTACTTTTGCAAATGGTAAGCCATCATGGGGTAATTTTCATTCCTGGGCTAGCATACGGTCTCAAAGGCAACATAACCAATCTGGCAAATTTCAATGTGTATAAACTGAAAAATGTAATGTGCTATATTTGACCCTGTAACTTTCCAAAACACCAAAAAACCTGTACATTGTGGGTATTGTTTTACTTGTGAGACATCGCTGAATACAAATATGTGTACTTTATTGCAGTAACGGCTAACAGTATTGTGACATTCACAGTTAAAATGCCATGTAGAACTAAAAAAAAACATTTCTTAATTTCTCAAATTTCTTTATATTTTATTCACTTTAAATTATGTTTAATATACATATATCTGGTTTGACATGAAAGCCATGTTTCTCCTGAACAAAATGATATATGATAAGTGTGGGTGCACATAATATGAAAGGTGTGAATTATGCCTGAGCAGACATTTAGCGCAAATTCAAGGTTTTGTTTACGTTTTGTTTTGATCACAACTTGTAAAACTGCCTCAGTCCTTAAGGGGTTAAGCTAGATAAAGTATTTAATATCTAATCCAACCTCGACAAAGAAGGTGTCTAACGATACCTCTAGCAATGATGATAAGTTACCACCAGATTGATGGTGTGTTTTACCTGTATCATCAGGTAAAACACACAATCAATTCTGATGCTGTAGGGGTCAATGTGAGCAGAAGACTAGTGAAAAGAACTTGGCCTCAGAGGACAGAGTGTTACTTCTTGCCAGGGACCAATAGGCTTGGTAATACATGATACAATACTTCCCGAATATCCAACTTTTTACCATTTCAATTCTTGGGAATGTACACACTGTTATGTTTTGCTTCTTCCTTTGCTTTTATGTTATACTTCAATGTATCGATATTTCTTTGAGTGCACTTGTATGTAATAATGTAATTTGTTTAAATCACAATACAATAAATACATTTTCTTATCAGCCTAAACTTTTTTGGTCACCGTCTTTTTAAATATTATTTTAAATAAAAAAAAAAAAGTAATTTAAAAGGGGTCTCCAAAAGCATGACATTTAAGGTGATTTGCCATAAAGTCAGAAATCTGGCAACCAGCCAGTATATTATTGTAACATAAACACCCACTTAAAACTAATGTAAATTACAAGTAGCCGCCTCTAATCCCCCATTTACAGTAGGAGTCCTGCACAAACTTCTCTTGTTAATCTACCCATCATCACATCTTTCTTTAAAGTTTCACAGACATTCTTTGCATTGGAGAGGGGTATTGGTGAGGGAGGGTTATGGCTTTTCTCAAATAAGCTGGTAATCCTCTTCCTTAATACTTGTAAATTAACACTTGAGATAAACCAAAAGCACACATCTTGTAATTGCTAGGAACAACTTGCTCTCTATACAGATGTTTCTCATCTCGGCAGTAACAAGACACTGATCATACTTTTCAAGCTGGGTAATGAAAGCTGGGCCTAGTAGCAAATTCCTTGTTATATTGCCATATTTACTGTTATGTGTTGTCAATAAAGGTAACACTCACTTGAACTTGATAGCAGATCTATATTGTCCTGTGCACAAAATAATACTTACAGGTGCCAAACTCTATATTCTGGGCCACTATTTTGCCAGACTTGTAGGATTTCCTCTAACTGAAATGTAATCAAACGATTAACATTGATCACATATGATAAACATGTTAAGTGTTATTTTGAACCACATATTACATGATGTTCTCCAGGACCCTTATGCTTCTAACACTTGAAATATGCGTTTTACATGTGTCAGAACTAATTTAGAATAACAGTTTTAGATTTTGAATTTATTTTAGAATTTTATTTAGATTTTTAATTCTCTTCTGTGTTAAAGAGGCACTCTGCATATCTGAAGCACTTTAGCTTCCTGAAGTGCTTTATGTATAAATAGAGTGGTTTTTTTTTTTTTTTTTTAAGAAAAAGGGCTCGTATCATTAGATATTGTAACTTTAACCTTGTTTAAATTAACCTTGTTACACCACTCAGCTGTCAGATAATTTGACTTGGTACTTCCTGGTTACATAGCTTAGTGGTGCTAAATTCAAGAGTCAGGCAACTGCCCTTGGCACCTGCCTTGCAAAGACTTGAGCTGCATTCGGAAGTCTGTGATTGGACATCCACAGAAAAAAAGGGAGGGCTTGCAAAGGCTGCAGACAAGAGATCTGCAGCTTTTGCAAAATGTTTTTAGATATATACGCCCAATGCTATTGTTTTAATTGGAAGTATATCTACTAAATTATAAAAAGAAAAAAGTTCTAATTGGAATGTTCCTTTAAATATGTTTGGAACATATATTTTGTGCCTAAAAATACAGAGTCCAGTTTATAGCTCCAAATACACAGTTGTAGCTTAATGCCAGGCCACTGTAGTCATTGAAAAGTCTTATGCTCCTCTCAATCTCCCTCAGAATCCTTTCTGATGTGTCCCTTTTGGGCCGAATCAGAGAGGATCACAGCTGAGCCAAAGACATGCTCATATGTTCCACACAATCACATATTTCCTCAGCACTGGAACTAGTATTTATATTATGAAATTGCTGCTTTAATAGCTTCTGGCTTACAAAAACATCTGGTTTACAAAAAGCTAGTTAAGTTAACCATTTATTTCAACGGCTTACAGAGAACGTCTCACCCTGAAATGGGGAAACCGTTGATGCTTGAAAAAAGAAAAAGGGTTAAATACAAGATCTACTAGTTCTTATGCTAAGTTTCTTCTGCACCATATTGGGTGACCAAATAAAGTACTCACTCCCAATCTTTAAAAGCACATAAATAATATTGACTCTTCAATGAAAAGTATATAAAGGGAAATATTAAAAAAAGGGAAATATAGAAAAAAGGGGGTTAGTCTCCTAAATGAAGTTACATGTTTCCTTAAGAAGAGAGTTATATTCAAAAAGCAGACAAAATACAATATCTATCTATCTCCATCTCTATATATTGTATTTTGTCTGGAAACTAATAACTAATAACTCAATTTTGTTTGACATATTTATACTAATCCCTCCTTTTAATATACTTCTATATCCCTCCTTTTAATATATGAAGTATATTAAAAGGAGGGATTAGTAAAAAGATGTCAAACAAAATTGAGTTATTAGTTTCCTTTTTTTAAAAAGGAAGGTTATCTTTTAAACACAACTTAAAAACATAAACCCTTATGTATATAATATCTCCTTGACAAACACTCTTATATTATGTGAACATATATAACTATATACCAAAAGAAGGGGAATTTACCACATTGATCTAAAAAAATCATGATTACGCAAAATGTTAAAAATAAATAAATGACATTAAAAATTGCATATCTCAAAATTTATATTAAGACCAGATTGGGTCAAAGTATCTAGATAAAAGATCAATTTCATCTCTTCCTGTCCAATCTTTATGCTAAAATCCCCACCTCTCCAGTCATTAAATACATGTTTAATACCTATAAATTCCAGACTGCTCAGGTCTTGGATATGCATCTTTTTAAAATGATCTGAAACACTGTGGTTTTGCACCCCTCTTCGAATATTATATATAATGTTATCGTAACCTTATGTGCAGTGGATGTGTGGTTCTCCCCACATACTGTAATTTGCATGGACTACTTAGTAAATAAATTACATTGTTATTTTGACAGGTAATATGCTCTTTATTGGGGAATTCTTTATGTGTCCTCTCTGATTTAAAGCTATGGTCTATGTTACTTTTGCCATGCAGCATATTTTTACAGCCTGCACACAGTTTGCACCAATAGAACCCTAGGGAACACCCTCCCCCCCCCCAAAATTCCCCAATGGTATTTTTACCTAATCCTTTAAGTAGCTATGTACCAGTGTTGTCCTCAAACTTGGTGCTCCCCTAAAGGTTATCTTAGGTTTAGTGGGTAAAATTGAAATAGTGGGTGATGGGACACTGCTACTTATGCTGAGAAGTTTGTATTTGTATTTTCACAATAAATATTTGCATACTCTACCTGACAGCTGGAAGTGAATCGATAGGATCCTACGCACACCAGGGATTGATCTACCCAGAGCTGCATTGTTCAGAGTAGTACTCTAACCACTCTGTTTTTGAGTGCTTTGGCATTAGCTTTTATAATTATTTATGCCTTCCTGACAATATTGCACTATTTGTTTTTATCTCCTAGATTCATTTATTGCGATTATTGTGCAAGTATACCATTGTGTGCTAGTGCCTCAGGGTGTCACTATTATCACTATATATTGAATCAAGATACACCCATATGACATTACCACTTGGGCACATATTCACTAAATAGTGAGCACTATGGGCACTTTAATGAAGTTTTAAAATTTGATATAAGATTTTATATTTTGCTTAGTAGTGATTTAGACATAGCTGCATTTTATTTGCCTCTCATGGAGTCTTTCACAATGCATCCAATTATCCATGTGTCCTATTACCCTTCTGAAAACATCAAGAATAAATAGAGAAGGAGAAACCTTGTGACTACTGGCCAAACCTCTTGTGTTTAACCAATATGGTGATGCACTCCATGTATAAAATGTATGGCAAATTCCAAAAACTTAAATTTCCAAAAGTACAAATTGACACATAAGGGTTTATTCACTAAAATTGACAACTAAATTGCAACATTAACAAGGCTATAGCCTAAAGTGTGAATTCAAAGCAAATTTCAAATTTAAGGTCAAAATAGTCAAAATAGAAAAATTCTGTCAGCGGTGTTTTTTTTAGTTTGGCCTTAAATTTGAAATTCACTTTAAATTCTCACATTAGTATTTAACCCTGTTAGTCCAAAAAAGCCAAGATTAAAAAACATCTGAATTGGAAAATGTTTCGAACACACCTATTTTGGCCTTAAATTTGTTATTCAAGTTTAGTGAATTTACTTTACAACATACATTGTTACCTATATTCTATGATGCTAACAAAGTCCACTTCCTTTCCACACAATATTTCTATTTAAAGTAAGCCCTCCCAGTTCCAGATGCAAATTAATGGACACTCCTAGCACCATATTAACTTACTTTGCATAGGTAAGGGGCTTCTTGAATCAGTGTCTATTTCTTCTGTTTTACAATTCACTAATCTACTGAACAATATCTCCATCCTACAACAATGGTATGGGCACAATTCTAGGTGAAGAGCTTGAACTTTTACCTTCACCTTATTTGCACAGGGGTTTCTTAATGTAGGATTACCCTCAGTGTCACATGAAATGACAGAACAAAAAACAAGGGGGAATTATAGGATTTAAAAATAAACAAATGCAGAATAAATAACAGTCACTCACATTTAATAGAGCTACAAGCCAATTCAAACAAAACAGGATACAGCAGTACCATTCCCGCTTATGGATGTAGGGCCAGAAAATAACTTCAGGTGGAGAAAATAAAAAAACTCAGTACAGCAACCTTGCAGTTTAGTATCTTTGGGTAACAACAGCAGGGATATTAGAAAAATGGTCAAGCACACATCTAGAGCTTCCTGCAAACTACAGCATAGAGAAGTACAATCTGTTTGTGTTGCTGATGAATATCTTCAGTAATGGCAGGTATATATGAAACACAAAGGGAAGTGTACATAGTGATCCCAGTATAAAATATATGAAAGTCTACTTATAGTGTTTGTTTCCAAGCACAAGTTGTATCATCCCAAACAAGGATATGGAGAAGGCCGGGTGGTCCAAAAATATCATTCGATACAATTCGGTAGACAGCCAGGAAGGGATATAATCAAATTCATTAAAACAACTATACAACAATAAAAACAATAAATATGGATCATTACAAAACATTTCACTGCTTTAAGTTACCTACTGGCCCTTCATCCATAA